GTTTCGACTGCGAACTTTCTGAAGAATTATGAAAAATTAAGTTTCATCGCAAAAAATTAAGTTACTATATGTTCAACATTAAAATGACGCATCTTTTTTGAAAAACCTGCTTGTTAACCTACGAAAGAAGCGTTCTAAACATTTTGAGATTATCCTTTCGCTATAAATGCCAATACCTATTTACATATTAAATTATCTAATTAGCCACGAAATAATTTTTTTCTGAATATTTCATTTACCTTAAAATCCTAGTAATTTATCTTTTGCGAATAAAATACACTAAATTTCATTCTTTAAATATCATTGACGCATACGGAAGTACTCTCTTCGTATTCTCGTCGCAATTGTTTATAGTGAATCTTATATCATTCATCGACGATGTTCATGTTCATAATTTTTAATTATTCAAAGGACTAGAAAATTATATTTTGTATCGTACAACTCGAACATTTTCTATCATTTTTGATAAAAAAAATATGAAGATCGTGCGGCGGACAACCGTACGAGGATCGTGCTCGTAACGTAAGGGAGGTCACTTCATAAAGAGCGACAATGATCCTCCATAATAGCGAAAGCTTTAAGCAAATTAGATTGTGAGATATACATAAGACGTTTAACAGATATCGTACGGTTCATACTAACGGGATAAGTCGCACATAGGATTCCTGTACCAGGTTCTATCGTTACTCAATTCGTCTGACTGACTTTGGATTTGAGTTCACGTCGAGTCGTTGGATCAACAATGTTGGCTTCAAAGGCAACGATCTATTTGTCACGCGTTGCAAGATACGTCACAAGGCTTACCGTGATGGAAGCATGCATAAATTACACGCATCAGCTATGTCTCTGCGAGATGCGAGAGACGGAACCTGGAATCCGGTTTCTATCGAATTCAATTCGTGTAACCAGTGTCACGGAAATGTGAACGTTGAGAGCACATAGTTGCCAACAATGATAGTAAGTTGATTCTATTTTTCATTTTCTCCGCATATATTCAAAAATTGTACACGACAACTAGAAAAATATCAGGGATAGTTTATAAAATTATTATATGTGAATTTACTTTCTAATATTGAAATAGAAGAAATATTGAACACCATAATTATACGTATAGGGTTGGTGTTGTTCCGCGAACTGTCTTAACTGATCTCTTTTGTAAGTCAAAATAAATCCACTAGTATAGCTGAATAATTAAAAAATCTTCCAGAGAATGGAAAACTTCTACCTTTTGTTAATCCAGTATAATCCAGTATTCTTGGATCATGAATGGTTACAAAAGTTCTTTTTCTTTTTACGCTACTTTCATTTAAATTGCTTATGCGATAAGTTCAATTAATCTGACATATAAAACCATTAATAATCATTATGACCGTCAGACACGTATAAATTTCGACTATGGAAAGGATTTGTCAAACAATTTTACTACTTGTTTACTTCGAATGCAAATATCAGTTTGCATAATTAATTATCTACGCCACGATATATGTCCTATACCTTTCATTCTATGTTCTGAATCTGACAAAAAGTTAATCATCGGCTGTTTTCAAAAATTAATTCGAATTAATTCTCAATGTATAGAAAAAACGATTGCAAAATAAAAGTTTCAGAAAGGATCAATTTCCCCATTTTATACTATGGAACCTTTCTATGAACAGGTTGCTCTAAACGATTATCGAAATAATACACGATCGATATTTCGTTCGAAATAAGCAAGAAATTGTCTGGTATAATACACGTACACGGTTATCTATCGTGGACGTTTCCCAAACTGTAACCACGTTCCCGGCTTAGGACCCGTTTAAGATAGAAACGACACGTAGCAAAAGAGCGGAATTCTCGTTCGTCCGTGATTTTTCCGTGGACGTGGTCACGTGTCGCGTGCGACGATGAAAGTGATTTTTCTCGAGTCCGCGTTTCGCTTGCTATTTAGAGCGCGTTTCGAGTTGAACCAGGAAAATGGTACGTGCACGAAAATCAGACCTGGTCGAAGCAGCTGACACCCGATCCATTTCTTCTCCTCTTTTCCATTACACCACGTTCGTGTCCGGCCTTTCCCAATCATTCAGAACATTCTGCGTACATGCTATATATTCGCTGCTTCCTCATCGTTGACGAGGAAATTTGTAGAAGAGTAATAATTTTCCTCCTTGAATCGGCGAAATCTCATTTCTCCTTTTGCCGCTTCCATTAATTTCCACGGATCGCTGCAGCGTATAATTTTGAACGATTCCATCGCTTTTTCTCTTCTTCCGCGTTTTAGATTTAAAACGTTGTATGATTGATACAGAACAGAGCTACGTGTCTTCTCTACGTTCAAGTTTCAGACAGTAGAAGACACGTTATTCGAAATTAAGTTAAACAATTCTCTCGGGAAACGTATTCTCTGTGTTTTACGATCATACGACTCGTTCTCGAGAGAGCACCGTTTTAAACGGATCTTTAATGTGGAAAGACAATGTCATACAGTTGTCCGATACACCTGCGCCGCCTCTTTCAACCATCTATTTTTCATCGAAGCCATATAATATCGCTCGATACAGCGAAATCGATCTCATCACTTATTGCTCTTCTACTTCTCGCCTATCTTGTCAACCGTTTCTCTCTTTTTCTCGCCAAGAAGGAATATGGCGTGTGACAAAGTGGCTTTAAAGCAACTGACCCACAATCCGCTCTGTAAGAAACGTTTCAGCTTCTTCTTTTTCCTCTCTTCTTTTTCTTCTTCTTCTTCTTCTTCTTCTTCTTAAGCTTGATCGTAGTGGCAGATATAAAAGAGTTGCGAGAAATAACAACAATTTATTGTACGATATGCGGAAATTAATCACGTTTTTTGTTTCTCGATTGGCTTCGTTTTCTGCTTAGGATTCGTTTATTTTGCTGGATTTTCTTGGATTCAATGTGGGCAGTGATCGTAGCATTACGTAAATTCTTCTACAATTGAAAATTTTTAAAGCGTCAGCGGGTAGAATTTGATGTACTTGAGAATTAGTTACAGGCTCGGTAATATTGTTCTTAACATTTCTGAACAGAGATTCAGTGTATAGGCCCGTGTTATATTCAAACGCGTAACATATATTGTTATAAGTCACAATGTTGATTTTCCACTGCTCTTCTTTTTCTTCTTCATTGACACAACAGCAAATTATACTTGTAAGTACTCACAACTGTGATTGTCTATGTTTAATAAATTTTTGATACAAAAGAAGCATCTTTTCATTTCAGATCTGCCCTTTAGAATATTGTCGTAACGATACCTTTTAATAAAAATCAGTGCTACTAAGTGATCAAGGCAGTGATTTTTCACAATATTCTATCACTAATACACAATTTGTTAGCACATAAACATCGAATTATAAATTCTTCAATAGTTAATTCCTCCTTCAACGAAGTCATACCGCTTATCGTTGCACGCTCTTTTCTTCAGCAACAGAATTAACACAGTGTTCTCTAGAACGAAATATGGTCAGCAGTAAAAAATACGGTCAGTAGGTAGGCAAAAGCTCGTCAAGTCGATTCGAACACTTTAAGATCCCCTGGTGAGACTTGTGCTGAGCCACCACGCTGGAAGTAATTCCCTTTCAGCACGAGAATCGACCCCTCGAACAGTTGGCTCGCTATCTACCCCTGTTTACAGCGATAGCCGAAGCACGTAGCGGAAGAACAGCGTCCTCTTCCAGCCACTGAAAAGCTTCGTCGCTCCTTTCTTCCTCTTCCTTTCCACTTCACTTACGACCCACGATACACTCCTCGATCGGGTGCATAGGGAATAACGATAGTTCGTATCGACACAACAGTCCTTCAGGATATTTTCTGTACCAACTATAAAATCAAAGGCGTCCGAGAGGAACATTGATGGTAACTATCTTCCAGTAAGGCAAAATAATGCCAATTTATTATGATGAAGTTTTTCTTCGTCTTGAAGTTAAACAGATTTTACGAACGACACTAACGGGCCGAATGGTTTTATAAAAACAAAGGCAATAATACGATCTTGTCAATTGTTTATCGACTGTCCGATATCTTTACTGTCTTTTGCTGATCGATCTTGAAGCATCAAAAGAATATGCAAAGAACAAGCGTTTAAACGGATCTTAGAAATCGCCTCATGAAAGACAAGAATCAATAATCTCAAAGCGGAAATAGTCGAAAGGAGGTGAGGATCTGCCGAAGTACAACTACTTCTTCAGAGGTTTCATATTAATAGCAGCTGGTACTTCTACTGATATTTCTAGGACGCGAGGTTCTCCTTGGAAATCTATCCGGAATATCTCCATAGAAATAGTTCCGCACGCAATTGCAGACTATCAGTTCCTTGTCACTTTCCGCCTTTCGATTACGCCACCCGCGGCGTGTCGACTGCATAAGCAATCGAGCAACTAGAGAACGTTCTGCATCTGAAACAGCACAGTTCCGCCAGCATTTCGCCGAGGTCGCACCGATGAAAAATGTCGCATCGTCTGCAGCCGAGATACCAACCAGTGTGATCGCCGCTGTCACGTTCAGCCATTCGAAGCTGCTTCTAACTATTCGAAATCGTGTTTCGAGAACCAAAACGAGTCACATTTTCATCAGCTCACGATTCGTCGCCTCTTTTCTTCCTTTCCTCCTTCAATCTCTTTTCACAAGCTCCTGCGCTATTTTTCGTCTTTCTATGCGCTGAACGAAGACACGCTTTCCTCCCTCTTCTCTCCTCCATCTTCCTTTTCACTTTTCTTCATTTTCGTCATCCCTTTCAATGACCAACAATTCACCTCGTTTCTCGAACGTTTGCTTAGCACTGTACACGAGACGCTCGTTGTAACAAGGGCTCCTCGCGAGACAAGACGAAGCGCCCGTTGTAGCGATACCAGCTTCGTTTGTCGATTTTCTCCGACGCCTCTGTGTCCCATGGCTCCCGACCCGAACGCAGGGACAAGGATGCTATTTCTCGAATACTTGTTCCTCGTTTCGCTGCAACGACGCTCCTAGTAAATCCAACAGCGAAAGTAGGTATTGTATTATTATCTGCTATTCGCGACCAAAGTACCGTAGGTTTTAATCTCGCAGATGTTTGAACCCATAGAAACCTGTGATTTCACTCTCTCGAGTCTATTCATTCGTTCATTTCTTGATATAAAGTTGAACGTTTGTTGGTTAAATTTCTAGCGTAATTTGCTCTCGTATCTGTATCGATTAATGATTCATTAAAATGTAGGTAAACGAATGCGAGTGTTTTCTCTGAAACGTCGCAGCTATTGAAAAATAGAAAATGAACGATAGGAAAAATCAATTAATTGAATACACTTTTCGAATTATCATATTTCAAACAAACGTTAGATTCGAATGATTATACCGGTTTTTCGATGGACCGAAGAACCACACTTTTTTTGCTCGAACATTTCCGCTTGATTTCCCACAGCTTCATCAAGCTGCTCGTGAAATTGGAGTTCTTCTGAGGTATCCGATCCTCGGCGCGAACCTTCTACCCGTTCTTACTCGAAGCAATCACATCTAGTATTCGTTAGAAAGATCTAGGATATACTGGTTTCTTTCAAGTGGCGTGCGCTTCGAAAACAGATATGGCAAATGTTGACTAGTCGGAGTTACGTTTATCGCCAACAGATGCGTTCCACGTTTGATTCCCCTTTTCTTCATACAGTTCGTCGCTATACGTCGCTATGAGAAAATGGTTTTATTCTTAGCTCTAAAGGCTTTTCCGCGCCAAGCAGGCGAGTATCAGCGCTTTTACGCGTCGTCCATCTACGATTAAACACTCGATGATCAGATTTTCAAGGAATCGAGTGTTTCATGTGTCACGGTTGTAATTTTCATTTCCTCCTTTCCACTGCTGTTCCATAGCAAAACTGGAAATAGAATTTAACGTGTCGTATCGACATCTTCTAATGGTCTCTCGTAAATTTCTTTCGTTTTCATCTGTATTCCCCTATTAAATCACGTCAGCTTCACGCTTTCTGTTCTCTCCTTTAGTACGACACGCGAGGCAATACTCGAACAGAGCAGCTATTTGACAAATAACAACTTAAAACGTAATCAAGATATGGCGCGTCTATGTTCAGCATCCGATCTTAAACCGATCCAGCTCATGTATTCGATTCTCGAGCATCGAAGCACTACGAATAGTAGAGCAGTGGTGACAGCACGATGGAACACGTCCACCTTGGCGCACGTGCCTTCTGATTGCATGATTAAGCCCGTCGCAGTGTCCGAAAGCACGTTCTCTTCTTTGTTTTCCACGAGCGTTTCCCGTCAAAGAGAAACGGTTGCCGCACGAGCGCGGCGAGGAAGTTCGCGTGCGGAGAACGTGGCGAGAGAACTTTCTTCCTGCCTCTCTTTGATCGTGTCCAGCCGGTTTATTCCCTTTCCTTAACTTTTTCTCGTCCTGCGTCTCCTTCCTTTTTCCTTTCTCCACATCCTTCCCCTTTGTCTTTGTTACCTTTTTCCTTTTTCTCCTTCGCGCTACCTCTCTTAATACTCTCGACCCACTCGTTGCTCGCGTGCGCGTGCCTCCTTTTTTCCTCTTCTTGGTTGCTCGTCGGAAAATAAAAAAATATTCTGGCGAATCTGAAGCGGAGAACGAACGGGGGCCCCGGTTTCAGCACGACGCTCGTGATGCACGGAAATCGTCCCCTTTTTCTGGCTACGAGTGCCGCCTAATCGCTTACGTGAAGTACCTTGCTAGCACCGCCAAAACGACCATCACTAGTGTCTGTACTTTGTACACGCTAGTAGCGCCGCTACCGATCCAGCACTCCTTCTCCGTATACGGCGCACAATGTTCCTGAAATCATCCGAAAATCGCGTACAGGTTAATAGCGTTATGGAAAAATCGCTAGTGGGCAGGGAACGTCAACCGGTTGACACGTGACGATGGTCATCGGTGACCCACGTTAGTAGATAATGGACTAAAAAACTGTTAAACTTGACGCAATACGATAGCTTACATAATATGTGAATGTATATCTTAGAAAGCGATATAAACGTGAAATATTTCTCCTTGCACGAGGATTGACTCAGCCTACATCGTTTAAGGTTTGATTTAATATGCCTGTATTGGATCATGCAATTTTTTAACATTGTTGACGAAGTAAACATTGACGGTAAGAGACACTGACATAAGAGAACTGTGGCAAACTAAAAATTGATATTGATGGATAAATAAGAAATTAATTGCAAGTATGTGTGCAGGAAAATAAACTATTTTATTTCACCATCTTCGATAAGAAAAAGCCACCCGATTTGTTTTATCAGAAGATCTTACGTGTATAGACGTATCGCGAAAGAACTCATCTATTCTGCCGTTTTTAATTCCCTTCAAGTGTCAAACAAAAGGTTGAAAATATTAATTTAATAGCCAAAAAATGTACTCATTGATCTTCTTGGTGAATTCTAGATCCAATTATATTGTACACAACATGCAAAAAAAATTTTTAAAAAAGCGATGAAAATCTTAAAGAATAATGAAATTAAAAAATTCGTTCATATCTTCGATGAAAGTAAAATTTTCATCGGGATGTAACATCGTCTCCCAACGATATACAGGTCCGTGTAAGTATTTTGCACCGTATGTTCAGCCAGTAGATACATATTTTAAGTAACTTCACGAGAGCTGCAGCATTACACGACCGGACGTGCCTCGTTGTGGCGACAACAGTTTCTCCCGAGGCAAAAGTGGCAAATATTTACCTTAAGAAGTGAGATCGACATTCTGTCGAGGAACCCCTTTGCAAATTGAGCTGTGTCATAGCCACATTGCCGACGAATCGTATGATGCGAGCATTCCAAAAATTCCCTGAAGCCACTGCAACAGACGTATCCCATTTTTAGTCCTGTCGATTATCCAGAACTTCGTAGTTCAACTTCTCACTCGATGCTTTTACGCTTTTACGTTAAAGCCTGCAAAGCTGAAACCTTTATTCGCAAGAAGGATCTCTCGAAACCTTCCACTCCAAAACACGAATACATCTTTACATAAATTTTTGCTTCGCAGATAATTGTCGCGAATTTGCTCGAAGGTAAGTTTCGTCAATAGCAATTCTCTTTAAGGTCATCATAAGTCTTGTAGTTGATTTACGATGTCCACGTGTATGCGCTTGAATGTTCCAGTTTTAATTGATAATTCCGAATTAGACATTCGAATTAGATAATTTATTCGTTCCTACAATGTTAACTTTACATTGCTACGAACACTGACACGAAATTCAATATCAATTCTTTACCTTGAGACAAATGAACGTTTCGTCTAATCAACAGTTAACTTTATCTTATGAAAATACCAGTTTGAAAGTAACAAGGCAAAAGAGTTATGTAGTTACAGATAAAAATGTTATCCCTCATTATGCACTTGCGATATCTAAGGTCAAATCAAACGGCGAGCTGGTGAAATTTATAACGAAGAATTAATTAACAATCGAGCTTAATGAATGGAAAAAGAATCGTAACGAAAACAAATATTCTTCTTTACTCTTTATATAATGTTAATTGAAAATTATTACATTATCCGTTCCATTCTCTAAACTTCATATCAATAGATTTTCATTTGTTCTAATCGGTACAAAATATAGTACAATAATAAAAAATTATCACAATAGAGAGCGTCAAAGTAGTAGTCGAATATTTTGCGTTAAAATCTGAATAAATTTTCAATCTAGAAAATAGCACATATGTTATTCGTTTGAAACTAAGGCGATCAGTTTATATTTAAAGATTTGTCAACGTTTTGAAATTATCTACGTATGTAAAACACACCACCGTAATGTTACGATTTCACGGTTTAAAAATAGTTCAGGGAAGATAACATACTATCTATTCAATTTGTAATACAGGAGCTTCAAATTGTCAACAACCTATCAAGACATTAACAGCTGGGATAATTTTATGAAGCACGCATTTGGCAAATTACATCCTCGCTTCTAAGCGGCAAGCTCCAAAGATAAGATACACGTGAGCGTTCCGGATATTAAAACACGAAAGGCGAAGCGTGAATCGAGAGATCTCTCGACGTCGGAGTTTCTTTGCCACCCGTCTCTTTTCTGTCAACGCAGCCAATCTTGTTTTTCTTTCAATTTCCCGGCGCAGCGACTGAAAACGCGCAACGAAATGCAAATTATATTACATCCTGCGACGAATGCGCCCCGATTGAAACGTATCGTGGTTACGATTCTTGACGATAAAACAAATTGCACGCGTCTGGTCTATTTCCGAAGACAAATCCACTTTTGTCATTTGAAAATTTCGTTCTACAAAACTGGTTCGAAAAATGTTTCTATAATCAGTAACAAAATTAGATACTAACTTGTAAATATTGTATTATATTGACTTATAGTACAGTCTATATTAGCTTGTAAACCGGACTCAAGAGAAGTAGTCTTTTACTTTAGGTTTTTAAATTATAAATTATAACCATACGTTCTTTATTTTCCATTCCATTGCGATTTTCTATCGTTGAACGATTTCTTATGTGCGAGGCAATGAGAAAGAATGCTCGTTAATCCGCGTGATTTCTTGTTTGAAGTTTTATATTAAAATTTTCTCGATACTCTACAAATTTGTGTTTAGTGAAACGCGAGCGAAATTGGAACATAAATATTCAGAGTTAACCTAACTGCATGTCGTAGACTATAGTCGAATTTAACATTGAAATCGTGTTGAATTTCATTGAAATAAAATTGTGCTTAGCAGTAACGTAGGATTTATATACTGAGTGATACGACGGATTCAAGAGCATTTATTTTCCTACTTTGTAAATTCTAATAAATTAACGTAATTGCATATACCATATTTAAGTGCTGTGTACATTTAGTAGCGTATGGAATACATTATTCTGTATTTATTGGATCTATGGAATATTTGGTTAACGTCAGTCTACTAATGGATTGACTTATTTTTATTCCTGCTAGAGCAATTAAGAAAATACACTGCTATAAAATGCAATGATGTTTATAAGAAATCACGAATTGGCCATTATAATTTCTCTGACAATCCTTTCCATTTTTATTTTTTTCAGTCATGTGAAAAATCAATAGACGCTCCAAAATTATAGTAATAATTTTTTCTTTCTTCTTGCATTTAAAAATTTCATTTTGCCTGATATCAATAGCAAGTATCCAGAATAACGCTTTGTATCCATAACGTTGCATAGCACAAATCTGCAGTATAATATTTCACATATGAAAGTAATTGCATTTGATTGTCAAGAACTAAAAGTAGGAGAGCTAACGATTCCAATGCAAAAACAGAATGAACATGAAACAACTAATGTGATATGTATCTATCTGCATACGACTTTTTCGAAAACTATGAATATAAAAACAACTAATGTAATATGTATGTATGTTCAAACACATTGACAGCATGAATTTAATATGTACGTAGTTTCTTGAAACTAAATACATTTCATATTTAACGATTTGTTGGCACAATATTGCAAATGAAAATTAATTCGTAGACTCGCATCTCAGACATACCTATAAGAACTACTCTGAATCAATTTCTTTGAAATTAAAACTATTTATTATAAATCCATCGTATCTGCGTGTAACATTGAAGGAACACAGTCTGCCGATTTTTCATAATACGAGAGTATTGGTGCGTGAAGCCCATAATGCGGTGGAAAATATCTCATGTGAAAATATCATCAGCGGAAAAATCCATGGAAGCGTTTCCGGGATTTTAATTAAACGTATTTATACGATTTCAACTATAGGTTCGCCGAATTTTTTTTCCTCGTATTTCAACGGCGACGTTCAAATCCCCCTGCCCCTTCCCCCCTACAGAACATCGATGAAACTGCGCAAAATCTCGCGTTTTCGCAAAAGAACATTAATTGTGGAGTACACTATGTATCCTATTGTATATGTTGTCGCTATCGTACATTATGAAAAAAGTACGGAAAATTGGGCGAGTCGTTATTTATGATTTCAATGCGGAATGTCTAACTTTGTATTGAAATTCGAGACTAAGTTGGAAAAGTTTCGGCAAATGACAAAGAATAGACTGATTCGATGATGGATTTACGCGCTGTTAGTACAATACATCGGTTGTCCGCGATACCATAAATCGACGTCAAAATGAGACACGCGTAATTCCACCATCTTTTGGAATAAAACTTTCTATCAGAGTTCCGGGATACTAGCCGTCTGTCGTTTATCAAAACAACAACAGATTGAACAGCTTCTGAATTCCATTGTTCAAAAATACTATATGAAACAAAGTTTCACGGAGGAATTATTTCCGAGACTTTGCTCTTACTTTTATTGATAAATTTTTCTATAGAAAATATTTCTTACTTGTAGATTCTTTTAGTATCGTTACGTACGTATATTGCGGACATAAAAAAAAGTATAACAGTATACGCATACCGTTTAAAAAATCGAATCGATTGTATCCATTGAAGAAATTTTAAATAACTCGTGCATTTTAACGAATTTAAATATCGCGGGATTATCGAAATAACTCGTTTCGATATACGTACAGATGAGATACACAGTTATTGCATAAAGTTATTTCGAACGCGTCTAATCGATTTACATAAAAAAAAAAAAGAATTCAAAAAAGGAAAGAAAAAGCTTGCCCATATACGCACTTTAGTTCGACGAGATTAAAGCTTTAATCTAGAGAAGCGCTGCTTCGCAATATACGAAAAATATAAAATATTCAAAATCGCATCTCTCTGTTCCATGTTAATAACATAAATTTCTTAATGTTCTGTTCGAAGAGAACAGTTGCCATTATACATATTATACATTCAATATTATGAAATACCTGTTCCTTCTTCATCGTCGATGATAAAAAGATATCTAACATAATACAAGAAAAAAATTGAATACATTTAAAAAAAATATAAAAGGAACAGGAAGAAAATGAAAAAAAGAATGGATGAAAGATATTAGCTATAGAAAACTTAGATAAAAATTGTTATCTTAATATCAGCAACAATTCTTTCTTATTTTTTTCGTACTTAAGCAATTTTCTACCGATAGAAAATACAATTCGATGAAAAATGACCCGAAAAATGCAGAAAAGTTAATAATTGAACAGCGATATAAAAAATTCTTCCTGTTGTTATTCGGAATAACCGCAATGAAAAACGCAGGAATATCAAGAGATGTAAAAAAAGAGAGAAAAAACATGGAAGAAAATAATGCGCAACGTTCGATACGTATTCGTATTGTAGTTACGCGTTCGCTACTAGCTTTTCATCGCGTTTGTACTTTTTCCTCTCTTTTTTTTTCGACGAAGCCGTGTAAACATGACGCGAGGGAGGAAGCTTTTCACACTGATGCCTGTATATAGAACGTAATGTCATTAGCTTATCTACGCCACGGTCTGTTGCAGCTTTTGAAATTGTGCATCACCCGCTCGAAGAAGTCGGAGATGGTTGACAAAAAGAGAAAGGGATAAGAAGAGCGAGAGACAGACGAGGAAAGAAAGGGAAGGGAATGGGTAAAACAGAAGGAGAAAAGGAGGGGAACAAATGAAATAGAAAATGGAACCATGAAAGGGGAAAAGTTGGAAAATTAATTATAGCTTGAAATTACACGAAGCAGAGTGAAAAATTAAGAATTAAAGTGCAAATTATAAGTGAGAGAAAACTGTAATACAGAAAGAGAGAACAGTGAAGTAATAAAAAAAAGAAGGAAACATGATTGTATAAATTAAAATAAAAGAATAAACAGTATCGTAACGGTAGAAGACAGATCGTAATAATTCTAAACAAAATTGGCGAAAAGGTAAATATATAAAATCATTTGAGAAGGAAATGAAAAGGACAAAAATAGAAAGTTAAAAAAAGAGGAAAAAAGAACAGAATATAAAAGATAAGAATGTAGAAAAAAAGGATGCAGTGAAATTAAATACAAGAGACTGATATCGATAAAACTGTAACTGTAAAAAAAAACAAAACAAAAAGAACTAGCGATTCTTGTTATTTATTCGAATGAAAAGAAATGTAATTATACAGAAACGTAGGAAAACAAAAAAACACGCTCGAGTACAGGAAAGAAAAAACGTAGCAGCGAGTAAAACGACAAAGAAGGAAAGTGATACAAATTTAGGAAACAATTAGCCGCAGAAACAGTAAAATGGAGAAGATAGAAATACAGAAGCTGAATGGAAAAAAGAAGGGAAAAACAAAGTGGGAGCAAAGTGAAACGGTGGAGAAAAAAGCAAAACGATGCAGAATAGAGGAAAGAAACAAAAACCAGGGAGGAAAATGGAAGAAACAGCGGGCGTAAAGAGGAAGAGAGTGATAGGGAAGAAGACCAGAAAGCGAGCCGACCGGGAATAGAAATGGCTGAGCACACGAGAGGAAAAAAGAATTTCAAACACATCCCGCCGCATATGAACACGACGCTCCTTTAACTCTCTTATCGCGTAAATTCAATTGCACCCTTCACCGTGCAAGCTCTTTTTACATTAAATCTTTTCGTGCACGTCCTATTACGTTTAATGTGCTTAACAATATAACTCGCCCAAAGGGAATGCTTTCAAGCTATCTCTCTGTTCTACGTCTTCGACCCTTAATTTATAATACGTTCAAAAGCAACCAGCACCGTTAAAACTCCCCCAACAAAATTTCCATCCGTCAAATACTATAAAGATTGAAAAATTGCATGGAATTTCGTGAATTTTTTTAAATAAGTCCTTATAACAATTTTTATCATCTTTTAAGAGTAATAATTTTCACAATATCCTTACACGGTTGCCAACGCGAAGAAATTTTAACTACATTTCTTTTTACGGAATTCTTATAAAAATTCCTTCACGGCACAAGGGACAGACTAAATAGAATTTTCGATCAGACGCTTGCCTGACTTAGCTCGGGAGCAAAATTTTAATTAAATTTTTTACGTACAGGAGTATTCATGTTTCCGAGGTTATACATGATGCTCGTCGTGTTGATAGCGTAGTATCGACTATGCTCTAAGTTGTGCTTCGTAATTCGCAACAGAAATACGAGAATGAAAAGCACGCGTCCGTTCATTTCCTGATCCGTAAAAACGTGAAAACGTGAAAACGACGAATAATGTTTGTAAATTAATGCTCATTTCATTACATTTTTCAAACATAAAAAGTCAAATATTCTACGATATCAAAGACAAACAGAATAATACAATCACGTTTATACGTGAAATGACAATAAACTGCGATTTCATTTTAAAACATTTCTTTTTATATCATCCCTGTTTACTATACATAACTTAAAAAGGGAGAGTAAAATATTGTAAAAATCGTGACAATTATCCGACGCAATCGTCACGGTATTATTAAAAGGAAAAACATATTATATAATTTTTTATAGTCTTTTTGACGGCAACGGTAGATTCAGTCGGATACGTAGATTCAATAGATTCACGCAAAAGCGTAACGGATACAGTCGAGACATTGACAAAAGTCAAGGCTGGTCCGCAATTTTATTCCAACGGTTACATATGTACATATGGAAATACATTAATACCAAATACGATGTGCATAAAACTACTGCAACGCTGCTTACGCGATAGAAATCATTTTTCGTTTTATTTATCGGTAAATCATGCAATTCTTAGATCAATATAATTTCTATTTGCCCTAATCTTTCTTAACTGCGTGTAATTCAAATACTCGTAAACAGTATCGTCTTGCGCATTGCACGGCTTTCAATACCTAATACATATGTAAAAAAGAAAACACCGTTAAATTGAATTCTAAAAGAAGTATTCTAAAAAAAGTGTTCTAAAAAAGGTACTCTAAAAGAGGTATTCTAAAAGAGGTATTCTGACACGTAGATGAGGTCATAATATTGATATGTTTTTAAGGCCAAGAATACTTATAATTCCTAATGAAACCCGAAAGAGAAAAAAAGATAAAGACGTAAGTTTGTGCGTCAACAGAAATCCCAATGGAGACTGTGAAAGTGTTACATGATACGTTACGCTATTTTGGACACGTGTCACAAAAAAAATTTCGAGCTTTGCACAAACACCATTTTTAGTTTGTTTTTATCCAGTCTCGAATGAAATTTTATATATTTTATACATTAAGAAGCGGTTAAAGCAAAATCACCGAGGTTATACTATTTTCATATTTACTACTATTTATATTATTCATATTTTTTAATTTATGTTCTTTCTTTTCAGTCTCGTTAAAATTCCTTCATTTGTTATCATTATTTTATTCTATATCATTTTACTACTGTATCTTTTTTCCACCATAGAAGTGCAGTTCAAATCGTTTTTCTATGACGTGTCTTTAAAACAACCGTGAGTCCTTAAACCTATACATTTTTAAAAACGAAGTGGTCTTTTAGGTGAAAGTCTTCGTCCATTAACTCCATCTCATTTCGTATCTCGAGTGAAATTAAATTAAATCGTTTATATACACTTTACACGAGATTCTTCGCGTCTTGTATTTTTAATGTATCCGCGTAGGGAGATGTTAACTTGTGAACTATCCGCTTAACAGGTTAAAGGGTACCTCTTGAGAGATTATAATTTTCGCTTACCAGCACAAAGGCTTGAGGGGTTCATTCGGGTTCGCAATTTGATTTCCGCTTTCGATATCCTGAGTGATTCTTTGGTACTTCTTGTAACAGGCCTCGTATTTCGGTTGCACCTTTTGCATGCATGGTGCATGTCGTAGGAATTCTGAAACAAGGAAACAAGAAAAACAGTCGAATTAATTTGCTGTTCCGTGAACTCGAAAATTCATAAATGTCGATGTCGTAGCATGCAATCAGAGTATTGTTAATAGAGTACATTTTTGCAAAATTGTACGTCTCTAATTTATTTATGATTGACGACTTAGCTTTCTCACGCATAGTCAACTATCGTTCTAATTTAATTTTCATCGCTAGCGCTTTGTAGAACGATAGTTCCTTAATCAAACTATTTTAAAACGACAATGTTAGTCCAAACACGAATTTCTCTTTTACCATGCTTCTCAAAATAATCTCATTTATTCGCTACTTAGCGCCTTGCTACATATCCAATATGTATGAAGGTCCAAACAAAAATATAATATTTAAACACAAGACACGGAGAAGATAAGAATACGGATTTTTCCAAAAATGATAAAATAAAGTTATTTAATTTAGATTAATTTTGGAAATAGTTCCATCACAGACGAGTTAGTCGATGGTTTCATGAAGATCTAAAATTAATAATCGTTATCAACCAAAATCAGAACGAATATTTACATCGCCAGAAATTGATATTAGAAAAACAATCGAGATTCGATAATAATCGTTCGAACGCAAACTGCGGTGGATATATCCAAACACATACATACGCAAGAATGATTACAACCATATAGATATATACATATACATAATGAAGTCTCTTTATCTTCAATGTTGCTTCGGCAAACAACCATCGTTCATACATCGACATGTTATTAATTTTCCAGCGGCACGTTGTATATTTCCGTCAGTTTCCCGCGGTACATCGAGCGAAAACTTGAATAAACATAATAACATTAATTACAGGACCAGCATCGCAGGTAAATCGAACGAACGGTCCACCATTTCTGAAGTCGATTATCAATATTGACGTACAGGGAAACGTGGAAAACTGCGTACATATTTCTCGTGTCGTCGCATCGATTTTGGTCAGTTTTCCTTTTTTCGTCTCTTTCGATAGCCAATTTACCTCTTAAGTTGCTAATGCTAATACACATGCATTATCGAGCATTAATTACGTTTAGATTGATTATGATTAATTTTCTGGCATTGAAATTTTCGTAGTAACGAAATCTGATTATTATAATTGCGTAATATCTGTACCTGTATTTTTATGATTAGCGTACATCATCCTAACGTATACATAATGTACACGTGTAGAATATCCATTCCTGTTTTGTAAATATTTTGTCCCACAGAGCAATAATATTAATTTAGAAATCAAAACAATACGTGTTATTATGAAAGTCTATATATAATGGTTCATTATTGTACGCGAGTTATGAAAACAAAATATTGATGGAACAAGATATAAAAATAGCCGCTGTAAGTACGGTAAATGTTGATATGCAGTGAACAAGATAATATACTTATTTGTATATTTTTATAATAATTTATAAAACGGATTTAATAATATACTTATTTCTACTGAATATCTAATAATTCATTCTAATCCATCTTTTTATAATATTCATCACGCTCGTATGTACAGGTTAGAATCTCTTCACATAAATTATGAATAGTTTAGAAATTCTTATGCATTTATAAGAAAGTTGAAGAAAAAAGATGCGCGTGATATACAAAAATATATAAAATATTCAACAAGTATGCATGACGCTCGTTGCAGTACATTTCATAGGTAAAACAGCGCTCTATACGCGTTCTATACGTTCTATATCTAGCTTCCGCTTTTCGTTATTTTTATAGAAAATACGAACCTGTATAAATATCCGAAATTTAATCGTGAGAATCTACAATAACAGTTGAAAAATTTGTAAAATTTCAAAAATGTCGAAAATAACGATTACGTCGTGAAAAATGATTTTCTCCAGTGGGGAGGACGGGGTTTCTAATGGCGGGAGTTTAAAATTTGAAATGATGCGAAACACGTGATAAGTAAGTACAGGGATGGTATCTAATTACGTCAAGCGACGAGGACAGCTCGAACACGGGACTGTCGAATAAACTCGATCGTTCGACGTCGATAATCGGGCTCGTTACGAGTCGCGTACCGTGGTATTGCTCTTAACGAGGCGCTAATCGCGTAACCGATTTCGAGATAGCACTATAGACCGACCAGCCACACGGGGCCAACGCAGCTCAATGACCACTCGACTCAATAACGCGTTCCATGCCCCAGGGACTGGAATAGTGTTTAGCGTGTTTCAATTCGTGTATCGTCCGCGAACAACAGCGGCCAGTGAATCCGTTTCCTTTGCTTTTGCTTGGAGAATGGAGCCACGTGTGTATATACGTTACCAAATAGTCGATTGCAGGCTAATGGTCGAAACCTAGTTTGACGTTTCGACACACAAGAGAGATAATCTAAATCTTGATAACAAGAAAAAAAAATTTTTTTTTTTTTTACATACATGCACATAGGTTGTTTAACCTGTTCACCGGATCATACAGAATTTGGCAGAAAGTTCTGTAATTATGGAATTGAAAAGTAAGAAAGGCAAATTGATTTTCTGTAGTTCTTGGAAGTCTTGGTTTGTTGCAAATGGAAATATAATAAACATTATTTTTAAGAGCGATGACAAGAGATGAAAAATAATATTAGTACATGTATGTAAAAGTATATAGTTCTATATCGATCTACGTATTTCTAATAACTTATTGTCGCAAAATTTCTATAAAAAATTATGAATTAGATATATTGACTATCCCAGTAGTTTTGCTGTTAGATGAATATACCATATATATTTATATATATAAACTTTGTGACATTCAATTAATGAACACATGGTGAATTGCTCTTTTATGATTTAGTAAAATTTTAGTTGATTCTGAAAATATCGATAAGTTGATATCAAAAGAGACATAGCATGAATCGTGAAATAAGTGAATAATATTCTGTGCTTCTCGCTGAAAATGAATATTAATGTGAAGGTATTATATATTATACAAAATATTAGCATTGCGGTGGTAATACCTATTCGATTCATTTCAGCGTAAGAAATGAAATTTATACGAATTTATACTATGTTCCACCCTTATCTCAGATTCCAAGTCTGTCTTCTGAACCGGATAAAAAGTTACTCTGTGTACATAGTTAAAAAGCTAATTAACTTAGTCCTCTAAATCCTTCGTATAATATGCGGTCTCAAGCAATAAGAACTGACTTTATGAATTTAATACAGTAGGGGAAATCTTGCGTTCATTAATTTCTTTTCTTCTTTCTTTCTCAGTCTGTATACAGAATGATCCACAAAAAAATCTCAAAACATATAAGAACTACGTAACATAGCTAAGAAATGTAAGAAAGAAGGTTCCAATTACTTTAGAAGTAAAATTTAACGCTTTGCATTAAGTATTAAAAAAGACGTATTAATATAACTACAAATAGTTTAAACAAGCCAATATTTTAATAGAATTTATCTAGAGCTTTTAAAAACTTTATTGACTCTAAGTAACGTTAAAAATCTATTCTTCCATCGAAAGTCGTCAAAAGTTTGTTTCTATCAAGTTCATCGAGTTTTATCAAATCTAATCAATTTTATAGAGCGAATCTAGTTAAGAAAGAACACGTAGTAAAATTCAATGGATCACAATGTAGATTGTATCTGCACGTTATCGTTGTAATCCTGGATGAAACAACAAACAACACATCTATATGCGCAAACAGTAAAAGAACTAATATTCTTTTTTTTTTTTTTTTTTTTTTTTTTTTTTTTTTTTTTTTTTTTTTAAAAATTTTTTTTTTTTTTTTTTTTTTTTTTTTTTTTTTTTTTTTTTTTTTTTTTTTTTTTTTTTTTTTTTTTTTTTTTTTTTTTTTTTTTTTTTTTTTTTTTTTTTTTTTTTTTTTTTTTTTTTTTTTTTTTTTTTTTTTTTTTTTTTTTTTTTTTTTTTTTTTTTTTTTTTTTTTTTTTTTTTTTTTTTTTTTTTTTTTTTTTTTTCGAAAATAATATATCAAATAAATCGTATAAAAGAAAACGATATAAATTCAGTGCTTTGGCCGGGGACGTAACTTTTTATTTGCACAGTTCTAATACCGAAAACGGATAGATATCGAGTGCTCAATATCACGAAGTTCTGTATCGAGCAGAGTTCTGTGTTAAAAATAAATGTTAGAAATATCATGCTTGGAAACTCCGATTTAAATTCCATGTAAATAATTGCACTAACTAGAATAGTTAATATAGTAGGATCAATCATACTTTGGCAAAATTCTATTTCACTGTATTAATGTTACTAATATTACAAAATGCATAAAGAAAACCGCTACCAGACAAAGATTCTATGAAACGTGTCACTATAATAAATAGTGATCGTTATAATAATATGAAAATATTTATACAACTTTCTACGAATTAACGTTGCAGAGCAACGTAAAAAAATGAAACAAAAGGGAAAGAAAGAAAAAATAATTTGACCAACGGGAGGAAACATAACACGATACATTTATAGACGTAAATATTACTTTTAATAAATTATAATATTCAACATTTAATGAAACATTGTACGCTCAGAACTCGATTTGTTTATAAGAAAAAGAATTATAGTTAATTACTCTGTGTTAGATGGAATTGAAAACTAACACCTCTTTTTAAATAGATTACTTGATTCCTACGTAATGGAACAATTAGAAAATGTCTAGTAAAAATAATCAACTTTTCTTTAATAAAAGAATGGAATAACGTCATTATCAAAATCTTCGAACTATGTAACACAACTGATAAACAAATAGCCTCAAACTACCTACATATTTTTGCAAATATCCCACAATGCGGACGAATATATGAGCATAATTGAACAGATATGTAGATTCCAATAACAAAAATGTATTATTCTTTGATAGCAAGAGCTCTTCACGAGGTTGAAACTGGGAAAATGCCACCAGAAAGCAATATATCATAAAAAATGAAAAATTGAAATGTGCAAAATGTGACGAAGCATAGAACGATCAACATTATAATTTGCGATAATATTATGTAAATTGGAATCTTGAAGCCCCACGAAAGACGCATTCTGCGATGATTATCACAGGATGCATTTCACGACAAAACTATGGAACCGTGTAGAATATGTGCGAGCATTTCGAATCTATTGGCTATTGGAGTCAATAATGTATTCGGTACTCTGGAGATTACCCGAATATCGACAGCATGCTCGATCGTGGCATCCAAAAACGATTGGTAATATCTCCTAGTATGACAAACGCAATGTAAAATCCATCAGATATTACGTGTACCTACTTATATACACGGAGAAATTAATAATATATTATAGATTGATGAAAAAATTGTAGGAGAGAATTAAATGACCAAAGAGTTGTATGAAGTGAGAGAAGCTACGTACGTAGGAAAATGCAATTTTTTTTTTTAGCATAAGATACATAATGAACGATATTATTTTTATTTTTTATCGTAAATAAAATCATAACATTCGGTGATTTAAACGTATTATAGATACCCTGTTTGAGAATGTTGTAAAATTTATATGTATGTCATTTCATAGAAAAATTGATTAAGAAACTCATATAGCTATTAACTAAAAATAGTTACTCTTTTGGCAAGCTGATTCATGTTCAAGGGTAAATTACAAGCTATTGGAACCAAATGTTGCTATGATATATATAAATAAAAAGCAGTGTTAGTGGAACCAGGAATGAAAATAGATCAAAATAGAAGACAAAAATGTACTACATGGTGCAAGAAATTATAAGAATTATATACAATCTAAAAACAAGTAATAAATAGTATAATAATGGTATAAGAATATGGTAAAACTATTAAACTTATACGTGCTAACTTATAATGATGCTCTACTATTAGCTTCAATTTCAAATTTCGACTTATAGTTCAAAGATGTTTCGGGTAAGAGAAATTGCTCTTCGGAAAGAGATCAACAGATTAAAAAAAGTAAATCAATTGTAAGATACTCGTCTTAATAATTTTGTATTCATGTCGACTCGAGATATTTCCACATATCGATGTGCCAATCAAATATATTTTCAGAATTAAGATCTTAGGTTGCTACAAAATTCTTAATTCGACAACGACCCATTTCTATTATAAGAACAACATCGAATCAAGGAATGGCAAACACAGAAAAAGAATAGATTTTATACTTTATCTTTTTAGATTAGACTAGATTTTATCTTTAGAATTTATCATTTTCTGTAGACTTTCCTCCAAAAGACTCGAGTATGAAAGGAAAAAAAATTTTAATTAATTATGTAGCTATGAATAGATATTGTTGACAACTGGTAATATTGGTTAATTCTTTCAATGAAATGCTATTAATGCTATAAATTAGATTTGGCGTTTAAAAGAATATCCATCATGATATTTTAATTCGGTAAGTATTAACGATAATAATATGGTCCTCTATTACGATATTCAATTGCAACTAACATAACGTCTACAAAAAGTTTTGTTATTCGATTCTACATCTTATTTTCAAGTTTAGTAATAATAATAATAATAATAATAATAGTAGTAGCAAATTTTTCTAGTCATATAAAAATGTCAGCAAATGGTACAAACTTTACTTCAATTTAATTAATTTATCAATAATTAATTAATTAATTAATATATCCTATAATATCATACATCAATTACAAGAGAATAGCAATGTACTGTATTAACAGTACACTGTACCAAATATCAGGTTGCCAGGTTCAATTCACTCTTCGAGACCAACCAGACAAGAACCACCTTATAATTACATTGGGGTAATAGCAACAACGTAGTTATTCAACTTACCGTCCTGATAAGGGCCATCTTGACACAGCTCCATGACCACCTTGTTGGTGCCTGCGTACAATGAGTTGAAGTGTTCCCTTTGTTTCTCCTGCAGACAATCCAACGTGTACGTCTGGATGCACTTCATGCCAGCCTCGAAATCTCTGCAAGAAATAAGAAAGAAACTTTGATGATGCGACCATAAAAGTATAATGGTAATAGGGATCTGGAGAAGAAGTAGTACTTTCGATAGGATTTAACGTAATGTCAGACGAAAATGTACCAGCGAATTCGTTTCAACGAACTCCGTAATAAGAGCAATAGAAATTATTTTGTGCACTGACGTCGGCAACGACAACGTTGAATACGTAAGAATATTTTGAGTCGACGAAAGCAATTTTGGTAATTATCTCGGTGAAAGAATGTCTCGTGGAAAGTTTCGTCCACGACTTTCGGAGTTGTGACGATAACTAATTATAGTGAAGTACATAGTTAAGAATTTTTTCCAACTTGCTATTTGGCCAATCGTGATACAAGAGCCAATTTGGAGAAATTCAGGAATTTGTGAAGAGATAAAAGTAGGTTAATAAGGCCATATTATATTCTACTAGGCTTATAGCGATTATATTGATAGTTTTTAATTTCGATTTCTTAAGAGGATTAATAGTTCAACGAAATATCGCGAAGATCAATTTCTCTCACGTTATGAAAAAAACTAAAACTGAATGCTAGATAATTTGAATATTATTAGATATAACCGAACATCGTAAATAAAAGATGAATATGAAGATATTCGAGAAAAACGTCTAGTTCTGAATTGATATATTAAAAAATTAATTAAGTTACACAAAATGAACAATCAATCAAGTTGATTTCAAAAAAGAAAGAAAGAAAAACAAGTTTCTTGTTCTACAAAATACTGTAACTTACTATTAGACAGCTATCTATCTAACAGCCTTGTTTTTATCTTTTTTAACCACATTCGCAATAATAAATCTTGTCGATTTTCTTCAAGCCCCTTTAAATAACACGATATTTTGAAAAAATTGAACACGATTAAGTTAATTATGTTTCAGAACTCGCTTTTCATAAATTCATAACGCGACGAGAGAACAAAACTTATTTAATAAGAATAAATTTAATAAGATAGAGGGAGACTTGAAGAGGAGTAACGCAGGATTTCTAAGAGGATTTTCTTAATACGAAAAGTACTTTTTCCTATTCTTAATTAAGGGAAGATCCTGGAGGAGGAGCGGAAAGGCTCTTTAATAACGATCAACACTATCAGCCTTAGTTCTCATCGAAATAGAATGTTGTATACCAACTAGCTGTGAACTATAAACTGCATATTTCTGTTTCGTCAAAACGATTTCGACTGTAGATTAAACGAAACTATACGTTTTTCTAATTATTTGGATAATAAAGTAATTGCAAATAAAATAAATTAAAAAAATTAAAAGGAGAAATATGAACTTGTAACTTTATTTCTTTAATTAAAGAAAAATTAAAGCCTTGTAAATATTTAACGAGATATAGTTGCTGATGAAAGTATTTGAACACTTGCCATCACTTGTATATCTATATAATACGTATTATATAAAATATTTAGAAAATCTCGTTGTCACTGAAATACGGTCAGTGCGATTATATTGGTAAAGTTTGAAACCATATGAGAAAATATCTCATAAGAGTTACAAAGATATTTACTGCAAATATTGATTTATTGCAGTAGAAAATTAATACACCGCGTGAATAGTTATCTGAACGATATAGAAAGTGTCAAAAATTGTCGCACTGCGGATTGAGATTTAGTAATATAATAGATAATTGACTATAGTTACTACTTAAGCTATTTAAGACTACTAAGATTCTTAAATGTTTCGTATAACGCACACAACATATTCTTAAAAACTGTTTAGAAGTGCTCGACTACTTCGGTGAGGAATTAAGCAATTAAGCAATGTTCAAACCTTTAAACATTTGTAAATAATAAGAAAGGAATCGATAATAAGAAAATATTTCAATAATCGTGAGAAATAATTGGAAACGATCTACTCGAGGATCGAGTTTCTCCGCAACGTGACAATTCCATTACCATCGATACCAGAAGCAATGAAAGAAGAACAAAAGGGAACGGGGGGAAAGGAGGAAGAATTCCAATAACGGAAATCGGGACGTCTTTACTCGCCAGCGGAGTAATTATCTTGCTGTTGCTTATTGGAGTGATCTCGACAGTTTCCCTTTTTATTTCCTTTAACCTTACTCGACACTCGTCGAATATCACCCTCCGGCTTCATCGGGGCGGTGCATTTAAATTTCAGATTTCAATTTCAATTTCAATTTCACGAATCGGAGGAAATGGAAGAAAGCGTGGACGGATAACGTGTACACGAATCGATACTTGCAAAATTTAAGATTATCGTTCAGATTACCACCCGCTAGCAAAAGGACAGATTGAGCATCCAAGAGATTAATATCTAACCTCAGACGCCTTTCTAACTGTTCACATGAAATAGCAGCAGTGTTGTTTACAAAATTTCCATTTTAATTTTTATTTTTGTCTCTTAAAAATTATTTTATTATTAACACATTTCTCGTCTTTCGTAGAAGAGCGATTTTAAAATTCAATATGTTGTCAAACAAACTACTAAACTACTAAATATTGATCATGCAGATTGATATTAATGAAATTAACATAGCAATTATCATCTATTTTCCAAAGAATCGTATTTTCAAACGTATAAGGTTATACACTATTTTTTATATTTTTGCATAAAATATCGAAATACTTCATTTTAATCATCAAGTAACAAGAAAGTCAGGAAATAGCTATATTAGGAAAGCGCTATATTACTATATAGTTCTCGTTTAAATTACGCAGACGTCTATAAAATATTCTTTTGCGCAACAGGTTTGATAATGAAATAAATAAAGCTGTATATATAAATTTTATAAATTACAAGTTAACTGAGCGTCCTATTAGTTATACAATGTTTATATCCTATAACTTATAGCTTGTCAATTCATTAATTGCTAAATTATTACACAAACATGGTTATTGCCTATACGATATTTATTAATGTGGATAAGTGTCACATATTTTTAAAGGAATAACATGAATGACAAATAATGTGTATGAAGAAGTATTGAAATGTGAAATTTTGATTGAAAATATAGACATTTTTAATTAACATTAACCTTACAATGGTTTATTTTCAAGATCGCTTTATTTCTACGTAGAATTTATCTTCTGTCAGAGCAGTTACTTCGTAAAAATTGTTAATAAACGTGAAAAGCTGCGAAACAAATTATTGATCATACATGTAGATATTTTGCAAAAAATTTACTGGTGATTTTTTTTGCATTTTTTCAAACTACGTAGTTGCTCTTTCCCTTACGTGTAACTAAAAATATTTTTCTAGAAAATTGCTTCCGATTTTCTAAATACAAGCAAAATAAAAAACATCTCCCAACGAAAAGGAAAACGAACAGTAATTAAAAAGAACGTAAAAGGATACAAAGTTTGTCCTATATATTGTAAGACAGAAATTAAATTAAAATTTTAAACTGTGCATCTCTTCGTTTCGTAATTATATTAAATCCCACTGTGAGAAATATTTCAACGTTCTCAATATGTATACCGAAATGCTTGTAAATGACATCTTTTGAAAAATAAAAATAAAAAATAAAATAAAAATAAAATGCCTGGATGAAAATTAATCAGTCGGTTTTCATTTCGATCAAAATGACAGTGATTGTTGAATTTCGCGTACACGTGCCGGTAATTTTGCGGTGGCGTGAGCAAGACGAATTTAGATGATTCCCCGCAGCTCGAGTTACGATTGAAATTTGAAATTTTAATGCGGAAACCGGGCCACTACACTTGAACTGACTGTTATCCGTGCGGCTGCTCGTAAACTGGTTACGTGAATCCAGCACGCGAAATAATTCATTGCAATTGATCCGATAACAATGAACTGAAAGGCATGCAACATCATGACTAGATGATTTACCGTGCAGTGTTATGTCATCATTGCCAATTAAAAATGTACAAAAATCGCTGAATATACACAGCCTTCTGAAAGTGTTCGTACACTTGTAAGCGCCTCCTGTGTGTGTGTATATATATACCCGTATTATGTATGTTATACGAAATTTCGAATTTCGAAACTCCATTAGCGCCGTAATGAAACACGAATATCGTGATTACGTTGATCGAATTTGAAACTGATCTGAAAATCTATACAGAAATTACAAGATATTTAATATAAGTATGTATAGTATGTATTTCGCAGAGATCATAAAAATATTTCAACAATCAACTGTCCACTACATCAACAAGCCTCGATTATTTTGTAGGAACATATTTAACATTTATTATGTTTATAGCGACTATTTACACTGTATATCGATATTTCACTAAATAAATATTTGCAGTAATGCCTTGCAATTTCTATATACATTTTCAAATTGGTTTCAAACTTGAGCAATGTAATTATCAGAATACTAGTACCATTTTAAAATATTTCATATAACACACACGCGCGCGCGCGCGCACACACAATATAGACAAATACGTACAAAATCTGAACCAACTTTGAATGGAGCTAACGCCACTAAAATCTCACGTAATCCGCGTTACTCAAATCCAACCTCAGCCTCATTGATTATTTCCCAGAAATCTGAGAACATCATCCTCTAATCTCGTTCCTACGGAAAGAAATCGCGGCATAATTTCCTAAATTTATGATTTTGGGAAAATGGCACGGCGCTACTTGGAAACTCACGCGCGCTCGTACGTTCGGCCGTTTTATGTACACGTGCGCGCGTTATCGTTCCGCCGGCTGATTTGGTTCGGTTACCGAAAATTCACCCCGATATTTCTCCTATCGACGTGAACGCGATTTATCCGAGCAAAAACCTGCTCGATTTGCTCTCTGAATCTCGTTTTCGCTGCCTTAGCATCAGTTATAAACGCTGGATGCCACGCGTTCGATAGCACGCTCAACTGATCCTATTCAGCAAGGACATTCCGACTGTTATCGGACGGTTTCGTACAAACTCGAACGAACAAATGACGATATTTCTATTTTCTATCATTTACCGGAATATTTATAATGAATTGGTTCATAGGTCAAAGTGGTTGTATATCTTTGTTTATTAAAGCTTGTATAGCTTTTCGACATTTTTGTAACTTTAATGTCAAAGCACTTAATTAGCGTTTATCTTTATCTATAAGTTGTCAAACGGCTCATTGTTGTTCGTATAAATTTGGTTTGCTATTGTTTCAGTATGTACTTTTGTTTAATTTCGAAAAAGGTTTCGGGTACACAATGGATATTGTTTACGTTAATCCTTAATTCCTTTTACATTGCATTCTATGCATTAAATGACAATTGAAATTCAACTGTACAAAATATGATAAAATAGAAGAAGATCTGATAAAAATACCAGGTGCACTTTTATATATTGTATGTATCTATATGTCCAGCATATATTATATAAAATGGAATATTTGAAAAGATAAATCGTATTTATATACTAATAATCCAATATCCTACTTATAATATTCTATTATAGTATTTGAAAGCATTATATAGCAAATAAAAGCTATTGCACGTTTCAAGGTTCGTTAAACTTAAACTTTTCTATTATATTTCACAATCGTAAGATTGAAGAGGTAAGTTGCGAAGAAAAGAACCATGAATTTCCTTCCATTTCTTTTCCAATGAATAAATATACGCTAAAGAGTTCAATGTCTGTCGCATATGTGTTCGGAAAAAAATATGCTTCTTTGGGAAAGTTCTAAAGTACGAAGAAGAGTGACTCTCTCATTCTCGAGACTTACGGTTTCCCACTAACTTGTTAGCTATTCTTTTAAGGAGTGAGTCACGTAACTGAAACACACCCCTTTACCTCCTTTTTTGGTCAAATGCCGCAAAAAGTAACAGCAGCAAGGCCGAATGGTTTAACGAGCTCTAACCTTTTGTGCCTCTACTTACTCCGCATATGCAACGGGAGCTGCACCTGCAGCTTCTAACGAACGAAACCGTATAATTTTTATCCCTGCAAATCAACTGCCCTCTTTACTCCGGGAAAAAGAATTCGCAACGACTGTAAATCTTGTATGGCTTCTTTTTACGTATAAAAGATTCCCCGCAGTATGGTCAGGAATACGTATTGCATTTCGTGCGAATTAATTGTTTAGAGTAACGTTCAATTCATAAGCGTAACGCCTTATTTATAAATGCAAGAGAAGTTCCACGGAAAATTAAATTTCGTAGAATTATCTAATGTTCTTTTAACCTTTTCAGTTTAAAGCTGAAAAAATATATTAAATTATATGATATGATAATTACATTTTATTTGAAAAAAAAAACGAAAATTATAATAATAATTCTTAAATTTTATATGAGCAGAAAACTACATAAAAATGACTTGAAATTAATCATAACACGTCTTCCTCGTGATCAAAACTTTTAAAGCGTTCTAATTTCGACCTCATAGTTCACGAAGCGTTCAATTACATTTTATTTGAAAAAAAAAACGAAAATTATAATAATAATTCTTAAATTTTATATGAGCAGAAAATTACATAAGAATGACTTGAAATCAATCATAAGACGTCTTCCTCGTGTTCAAAACTTTTAAAGCGTTCTAATTTCGATCTCATGGTTCACGAAGCGTTCAAAAAGTAGTTGAATATTGTAATTTATTTGTTTAATATCCACACGTACGTACGTAATCGGCTGCTGTTTTAAATGACTCGAATTTCGACGCTACGTTATTGGAGAAGCAATTTGTAAGTATCTTGCGACAGAGGAAATAGAATGCCTATCGCCAAACGCGGTTGATCGATCCCAGAAGGAATTTACGCCATCAGACTAACAACTGACTTCAAGTGATATCAGCTTTTCGATAAAATCGCTCGAACGAAAAGGGAAGTGTCCGTAAACCATTATTCGAACTAGCAGAAAAATTTCTCGACTTTAATTCTTATAGAAACTATTCGATTATTCTGAGAGATAGAGAAGAGACTTGAGCATTTACCATAAAAAGCTTCCATGTGTTGTACATTACATTAAACATTGTACGTGTTGTATAAGAACAGTTTGACATTTTATTAGCATTGTAACGATTGTCATTATTATTTTGATACAATATAAAACCAATCTGAACATATATTATACAATATATATAGAAGTTACAATTTATTTGCTACAGAGATACATTTAGTGAAGAATTAGTACGTAAACGACCAAAATAAAAGTACATGTAATAAGTATACCTATAATAAGTGTTAACTATGAGGAGTGGTATTTATATGACATATGTATGTGTATATTTATACTAAATATCTTGCAGCTTCTGTATATAATATTTACAGATATGGTTCAAAGTTTAATGATACAGTAATTTGCAATTGTTTAACGTTTTAATGTAATACATTGTAGTATTTATGAATGGATTAATATAATGTATTTAAATAAGGTTCTTGCAAATGTTCGAATACTTTCGTGACTTACTGTATATCTTATTTTTGTATTACTTATTACCACAGAATTGATCATTTTTACACCATTAAATAATAAAGTTTATGAACTATACCAAAGAAAAAAACATTGGGAAGCTGTTCCCACGCTGTTCTCTTTTTTATCCATATATATTTCGAAACGACACGAGTAAATTGTACAAATTAAAAGAGAAACCGTTGCAACGACCATTTGTGTTGGTGGGATTAAAAATCGATCGGCTGATCTTGATTTTTGAAAAAAATACCTCCGGGCGTTACTACGCTGTTATTGAATTTATATCAAAGTATTTAACACGGTGTATCTGTCGTTGAATGTTTTCCAATTAAACGACGACTGAAAATAAAAAAAATAAATACTTATTCACATCGAAATATCGTAAACTCTGTTTACTTTTCCCCGTAAAAATTAAACGTTAAATGCGGGCAACAGTTCAGGTACTTTCCTCTGTATGAAATTCGATATTTTTAAATAAAATTGAATTTATGAAAATCCTATGTCTGTGATCCTAGTATACCGTTTCTGATTACTTTTCACGTAACGTTGAAAGTTCGATCCATAATGTAGTCTTTAAAAAAACGATCATATCTTTATTTTCACCAACAAGCCAAACAAGCGTTATCATCGAACATAAATTTCATATTTCTGATATAATAAAAGACGGTTAGTGTCTGAAATTTATCAAATAGCTTAAATCTCAAGTATCTTTAATGCTTCAAATTAATTCAACAAAGTGACCTCGCGAAACTGAGAAATAAAAATTAATCCGGCAAAGGGTTGATAACCAAACTTCTCAAAAATTAACTAGAAACTCTTAAGAGGCTATTTAAAACTCGGAAGAAATCTCGAGTAGCCTGTCCTTCAAACTTTCAAGCAAATTAGCGGACTAGCTTATTAGAATTCTTTTTCAATGTTCGAAAGTCGTTCCTCGAGTTTCTCGATCGTGAAAATAGACAACACGATCGACGAATTCGGATAAGCAGGCGTTCGGAAAATTTAAGTTGCATTAAACTTGCCTCGATTGGACTAATTATTAGCGCGATTGGACTCCCAAGTGGTTTTTCTTTCTTCGTGAGAATTCGAACGACACTTGGCTAAGTAAGAACTATTCCAGAACAGAGCGTTAAAACTTAAAGTGAACTTTTTTAAGGTGTTGAATAAAAAAAAAAATTGGCGGAAAAGTAATCGAGGAAGAGGAATTTATGGCAAACATAAACGAGAAGGTGTAAACTGACTGAAATATTCAGCCAACGTATACATTGATCTACGTAAAGTATCGATATTATGCGTCTATATTTTTAATTTCAACGGGAAACTTTTATTCCTTTTCGTATTATAATTTATTAATAGGTAAATAATGTAATAAATCTGCTTCTCCAATTAATATCTCAGCTTCCTGTTTCTGAAACTTGATAGATTAAAAACAAAACTTCAAATCTTTATCGTTCAATTTGTATCAAACAATATTACACTGATATGTTCGAAACTCGAATGATATTTGGAGTTTAAAAAACTAGATGATAAATCTTTTTTATCTGTTCAATATATGTGTCGAATAAAAGAAATGTTAAAACATCACGTTATGAAAAAAGAATCGATAGAAAAAACAGAAGAAGTTCTACTATAAAAATGAAAGTTACGAAAGCTTGCTTGAAAAGAATTGCTCAACTCTAACAGAATATGAAAATTACAAATAAGAAGTTAGTAAAAAAAAAAAAAAAGAAGAACCATCGAAACGAACCTACAATCTAATCTACGGAAGAATCTAATCCAAAAACTTACGGGCATAGCTGCTGAAGTTCCTCCTTTTTCACGGCGAAACTCAAATCGTTCCTGTTGATTCTCTCGAGTGGTCTTCCGCACTTCACCAGCCTTTCGTGTCCGCACTCTTCGCCCCGACAACTGCCAAGCACTGAAACGGAAACAACGATAATGTAGAACGAAGAAAGATACGAAAAACTTCAGTGGCCTAACGATAAATTAAGATATTTCCACGAGTGAACAATTAAGAACGGAGAACGATCTGGCTGTCGTTTTAAAATATTGTAAGACGAATTTATGCCTCGGATGGTGTTCCATTTTGTGATTTATCGGCTGCCACGCGAACAGAAAAGTGGTACGTTTATTCGCTACATTAACCTTCGTTTAACCTTCTCGCAACTACGCTCGCCAATTGTGTCATTGTACTAAATGCAAACGTAAACACATCAGGAAATTACTTAAAGATATTTAATATTCTTATGACGATATTGTTAAAGTATCAATGAAATATCGTAGGTATCTATGCAATAAGAAGTTCTTAAGTAAGTTACTGATAAGGGTTAATTAATGTCGAATCTAAGAGCTAAATAAAAAAACTTACTTTAGGCGAACTCAACTCAAAAGAGATTTAATTTATCGTATTTCAAGAGAATTTTGAAATACGTTAAGTACAGAAATTGGACAAATAATGACGAAACGGTAAACCAATATTATACCAGTAACTAAAAGACAGAATTGTAAATTTGTATTTTTTATACACTCTCTTTTTTAATCAATGTATATCATGTTTCAAGAATAATAGCTCAAGGTTTCGTATTAACTGTTAATTAACCAAGTTAATATATAAAAATAAGATTTATAGTAATTAGTTTTTAGAAAATATACGAAAATAATTAGAAGTTCTTCTAGAAAGAAAGAAGACGATATACAATAAATAAAATAGTAAATTTCTTATGTTATAAATTTGCGATAGATTAAAGTTTATACGTCCACGATGCTATTTTGCTTTCAATCTACCTATTAAAAAAGCAATTAAAAAAAATCAAAATCTCCAACGGCGAAGTCTCTTATTCCTTCGTACAATTCTGACAAAGACTTGCTGTGAAACTTTAACAATTGCTTCCAGTTCTATCCAATTTATTGGTCGAAAATTTAGTGGACCTAATATCACGAATGCACACAGTTTACAACTTCAGTTTTGTTTCACGATGATTTAATTGAACATTGTTAACAGCGAATTAATTTCAGACTTCTTTCTATCAGGATAAACGAAGTACGCGATTTTTCGTTTTGTTCGCAAGTATAAATACAATAGCAGTGAGAAGAACGTTCGTTTTATTAGAAACCTGATAATTTGTAAACTAACTTTTTCTGCGTTGAACTTCTCTGTTTATATCAAATCGTGAACAAGTTTATAATGAGAAACGAGTTAATAAAAATAAACGAAGGATGGTAAAACGGGATAAAGTCTCAGCGAATAGCCTTCGGACGATTTCCGTTTGGTCTCGAGCGCGTCACTTCCGGCTAATCTTCCCTCGCCGTTTACCTTGCAGCTTATAGTTATTCTTCGAAAAACATGGTTGCAGAAGAAAAGTTGGTCTTCACGTCGCTCAAACTCTCGACACAAGTTATATGCGTTGCCTTTGATCGGGTCGAATACGTGCCGCGATTGTTAAGAGAGAGAAATTCATTTTTCACCTAAAACTCGCTCAACACGTGAAACATTAATAACGATGGAAGCGTGTGCTTCTAGTTTCGCTACGAAATAAAACGTAAGCAAATACTATCGTGCTTCAGTTTGTCGATCGTTTCGGCTTTAACCAATTAGTTTAGAAACGGACAATAATGGTACAGATTCGAGTAAACTGTCTCACTCGATAAAGAAAAATTTGTAATGCAAAAGAGAACAACAGACATGAGCTGATGTTTTGATTATTTCTGACAAAACGTTTTTCTTGTGGTTATGTAAAATGTAAACCAGTTTCTTGTAAGCAAATAATACAATAACGTATGTACAGCACAAAAACTATATAATACTTATAATCGCATCTGAACAAGACGTACGCGGAAATTGAAAACCTTTTGTTACGTAATCTTTAGAGTTTATCGGATGAAATACGGTGCAAGACGGATAGAACCTATTTACTTTTCTAACTACATGTATATTATACAAAGTATATAAATATATATAAATAAAGAAGAAGAAGTTCAATGGAATTATTATGTTAGTATCTTAGTATCTTCTTATGTAGTAATCTTATCTTGCAAATGAAGCTGTCGAATATCTTATATAAGCTTAGAAGTACTCGTGAACTTACGAATAATTAAAGAACTTCGTTTCGTGATATAACATAAATCCATAATTCCAATTGTTAATTGCATCGATAAAACCAAAATTAGTATGGTATTGATTAAAATCGCTGTATTCGTCAACTCGATGTGAGATATATTTTCGTCAAAGTTCTAGCAAATCCAGAATCCTTCATCCCCACGTTAGATATCAATTACCAATCTGTATGTCAACTAAATGACACGGCAGTTCAACGTATTGAATAAAACGTGAAACACGATGTCACGTCACAAACTGGGACGATAAATATAGCCACGTTAGCCCGTACATCGAGTCGTCGACTAACGGCACTGCTATGGATATACTACTGCGCGTCCGAGCAATGCTAGGTTGATCCACTTGAGCCTTGGCTCGTCTTTTTGCAAGGATTAAAGCGGATTACGCGTGGCCGACACGGCCGCCAGGGTAACGAGAATTTAGCTAACATTGCGCAGACTGCACCCGTGCACACCTGCCCGAATGCTTACATGCGTGTAACATACTCGTGAGAGCATGTAACGCGTCTGACGAGAGGTCCTCTAACACTGTAACTTATCAGTGGTATATCGTATGCTTAGGAAATCATTCGTATCGAAGTGAAATGAATTTCATGTTAGTAAATACGAAAAGATACGAAATATTTTTTATTGCTAATTTAAAAAATAATTTCAAAGTTACGTTTGATTAATATTATTGTTATTTAAAGTGATAAATTTATTATGTGTAGGCAAATAAAGTTATCAAGTCTTTCTTGTTGTTAGATAAAATAATATTTTTGGCGGTTTCTATCGTTTTATTTTTTTTTTAACTTTGTTATTCTTTTCAGATGCGTGACGTGACCTGAAATGGATGTTATATCTCAATAGATATTATTAAAATGGAGATAATTTTTAATAATTTGCCTTTGACGTTCAATATGATTTTAATACCTTTTGTGCGTCGCACGTTTTTTATGAATAAAGTAGTCTGAGAAAAGAGGATGTCCGAAGAGACACAAACGTGAAAAAAATGTCAAGAGAACAGCAGTGTCAACTATTTCAAGTTTCGACTTAAACTTTCTTTTGAAGTATCGCGACGTTTTATGATTTTCGACTGCTTTTTGATGATTATATATGCGTATAGTGGATAATTTTGAACGTAGTTGATGATGTTAATTTGTACAGTAACGTGTACTTATACGTTTGCAATTAAATTTGAAATTGTTATTCGCGAGATAATTTGTAGTTGGATAGATTTTAGCGGAACATTCAGCGGGCCGCTTTATGGCAATTAAATAACATTCCGTTTGTAGAATATGACCCATTTAATGGAAATGCGCTAGCGATGTGAACGGTGCTCTTCATTTCCCAGTAACATAAGAAAGTAATTAGAAATTAAAATTTTTTTTGCTTTTATTTATAACTGAAAGATCAAGGACTATTTAAGATATTCTTTCTACAAATTTTATGATTAATTTGAAGTCATAGTAAAACCAATTTATGACAAAGCTCAAGGCTCAAACCTCAAACTGTTTGTTTTACGGAAAAGTATAATCAAATATTTTCCCCGTGAAAAATATGAAAATAATTAGGAAGTAAAAACATGACCGAGTTTCTGTTCGTTTACCAATTTGAATTGCGAAGCTACGAAAAAGGGATGTCGGGACAAAATCAACCAAAACTGAAAATCAGCTGTAAAATTTGGCCTGATTCTATTCGAGCTTGATGTTGTGATTCAAAACATGTTTTTAAAAGGGAGGGAATGCAACGCAAAAGAGAAAAGGAAATTGTGAAAAAACACGAGAAAGAGACGTATCGCCTGTTTCCAGCAGCTAAACAAAAGACCATTAAATCCGAATCAACTTCTTAATTTGAACGAATGGTTTTTGCCCGCTGGTTGGTTCACGAACTACCCGATGATAATAACCACGCTCGTTCGTCATCATTAGGCACACCGGAAATGCGTTTCCTGTGTTTCGTATCTAGGACCACTGAATTTTTCCCTTGATGCCCCAGTTACAAACAGTTAGGGAAACGTTTACCAGCCCATCTTCGATCAACGATCAAAGATTGATGATTTTGATGTAGAAGGAATTCTGAACGTTCGTCACGAACTTTTATAATTATATTTGTTTTGATTGTGCAGAGAAGAATTTTACAAATCTTACCCATTTCGTGAAGAGCGGTTAAAAAAAATTCTATTAATATTCAGAAAACTGTGTTAAAGATAAATACAAAATATTTTTGTTAACATCAATTAAGAATTAGATCTATGTCACCTAAGCTGAGATACAAAGATCAGAAGATAAATAAAACAGTACTTTTCAAAAATCTTACCAACAAAAGTAGCCAAGTAGAGTATGAAATAATTACAGCGACAAAAACAAATTCTCATTATAAATTTAATCAAATGTACGTTTAGATATAACTAGAATGCAAAGTGTAATTTAAAAAATACACTATACTCATAAAACAAGTATACACAAAAATTCCAACCTTACGGATTATGAAATTACGTTTGCGCGTAAATTAAAGAGTGACACAGTCCCGAGAAACATCGCTCGCAGCTCCAACAAAAAAAAAGGAATTACGCTCGCGAGAGCATGTCACCGACCAACAGATTCAACATAATTTCCGGCGGGGAGCATAGTTCATCGCGGCGGGCAACCGTTTGTTGCAGTTATTTGCCGTTTCGTGTTCGCAACAAAAACCGGTCTGGTGGCAAACTTCCATTTGTCGCGCAGAACAATAAGAACAGCGGAGGCCAACGCAGAAGCCTGGAAGAGTTGAACATTTTCGAGAAGCGGAGAAAAACTATGTCCACACAGGAAGAAATACAATCCC